CCCTAGCTGCAGCCTTATAGGCTCAGGCATCTTTCATATCCATGTACCCATGAGTTTTGGCCATCAACTGCTCATAATTAGTGACTGGCTTTTTGGCAAGCGAGTTGGCCAACTCATTACTCTGTAAGCCAGCCACGAGAGCGGACATAGCGACCGCACTCCCTAGGTCGTTGACCTCCAGCCTCTTCGCCTGGAACCACTTGAAGTAGGTTTGAAGGCTCTTTTCAGGCCCTTGTCGCATCTGTATCAACATATGAGGGGGCATGTTTTGCTTGATGTCAGCTAGGAAGTAGTGGATGGACTTCCGACTGAGTTGTTGGAAGCTGTTGATGGACTTCTTCTCAAGAGTGTTCCACCAGAGCTTGGCACTCTCGAAAGAGTGATGGGGAAGCATCGACAGATGACTGCTTCTGATGCTTGGAGCATGCTCATTACGTCATAGTAGTTCTGAACATGCTCGGAGGGGTCTCTCTCGCCCTTATACTTCTCCATGTGAGGCATCTTGAACTTCTCACATGGGGCATTCATAAGGTCATCTGAAAGAGGGGTGTTGCCCCCAATGGCTTTCGCGATCAGTCTGTAAAACCGATCGTATCCCAAGGTCCCCAAGGTAGCAGAGGGGGTTGGAGAAGCACAGTGATGGGGGAGAGTCTTAGAGGTTGTTCCCCTAGTGCGGTCCCCAAGGTGACCAGGACCAGGACTCTCGCCGATGATTTCTGGGTGAGAGAGGAGATGTCGACGAGGTTCTGTTGGGCGAGTTGACCAATGAGGTGGTAGGGTCACACACTCAACACGATCCCTCAACTGCTTGACAGCAGTATGAGGAGTCCGAGGCGGGACTGCTTGCTGTGCTCTAGAAGAAGGGTGAGTCTCCGACCGCAGGTCTTCAGAAGGTGGGGGGACGGCTGATGCAGCTTGCTGTGGCTGTAGAAGCCGACTGAGAAATTCGCTAGTGAAGGTAGCAAGTTGCTGTTGGAAGATTTGAGAAATCTTCTGAGCTGTTTCTTCAAGTTGGGCTTGAGTAACGTAGCTCTGGTGCGGTTCTACATGGTGAGACTGGTCAACCCTATCTTCAGAACCAAACATGTTTTCTCGAAAAAGAAAGAGGCCCCACGGTGGGCGCCAAACTGTTGATGTTAAGTGATCAAACAATCAATTAAAATAATTGGATGGAGGTGAGATTGATGATGTGTCACTTCCTTCCTCGAATATCCGATTCTGAGTTGAGTGACTGAAGCCTGCACATATAGAAATTCGTAAGAGGATGTGGACTGGTTCCCCCGTGGTTCCTCTGACGATCAAGTCAGTTGGTAAACTTGAGTGGGGAAAAATGAAGAACTGTGTGAGTTCTTGTGAGTGGTGTAATTTGCAGATATTGCTTAAAAGATCTGATTTGGAAAAAGATCAGAATCTGGAACCCCCTTTTTTATGTTAGAATAGTACCTCTATTTATACTGATGGTATAAGGGTAGAATTATCACTTCGACCGAGCACAAGATGGCGGTGAAGAAGTGTGGGCTGACGGCTGCGTCAATACCTACTTCACAGGTGTCGACTGGCGACTGGGAAGTGTGGGCTGACGGCTGCGTCAATACCTACTTCACAGGTGTCGACTGGCGACTGGGGAGAGATTACTTTCTCATTAGATGAGAAGTGATTGGAGGCATGACGGTGCTGACGTGGACCGATAAGTCATGAAGACTATTGGAGCTAGAGGCATGATGGCGCTTGTCAAGCATTAAATTTGATAATGACACGTTTGTCAGTGGGAGAGGCTCGAGACTGAGACCATCCTTTGGCTTAGCCGAGAAGTAACATCTCTCGAGTCAACCCCTCAATGGTGTCGAAAAGCTGGTCGAGTGGGCTCGTAGTAAGTCGTCTTCGACAAGAGGGCCGACAAGTTCCGTCATTCGAGTCGACATGAGGGAATGTTGACTCAGCGAGTCGGTTAAATTAGAATCCTTGCTGATGTTTGGCCGCCAATTTGATTGGGACATTGCATGCGGAAGTACACATGTTCGTTGCTTTTTTTTGGCAAATGATCACACTTTGGCGATTAAGAACACCATAACAATTAAAAACTAACTTATTCTTTTAGTTAACTTAATTGTTACTTTTAATGAAGCAAATATATATATATAGAGAGAGAGAAAAAAAAACTTATGTCAACTTAAGTGAACCATCCACCAAAATTTCTATCCATTGATGATACCTAGAGATCCGTACATCATATGAAAAGACTTTTCATCAATGGATAGAAACTTTGGTGGATGATCCACTTAAGTTGACATAAGTTTCTCTCTCTCTCTCTCTCTCTCTCTCTATATATATATATAGTATATATATATATATACTAATATATATATATATATATAACTATATATAGAGTATATAAATATTATTATATATATATATATATATGATATATAATACTATATATATTAGAGGAATATGGTATACTTGGGCCAAGGATCCTGGTAGTGATGTGGACACATCTTGTCCATACATCAACCTTGGAGTGGTGAGGCCTCATCTTCTAGGTTGATGTATGACAAGATATCGCCACATCACTACCAAGGATCCTTGGTACTTAAGTACACCCATTTTTCTCAGTATATAATATATATATATATATTATATAATAATATAATATATATATATATATATATATATTATATATAGTAAGATATTATGAGAAAATGCAGAGGTGAGCTGGCAGCGTAAAAAATTTCCTACGCTGTAAGTGTATGACATGTGAGCCCCACACCGATGTGACTAGTAGGGGGGCTCACATGTCATACACTTGCAGCGTAGGAAATTTCCTACGCTGTCAGCTCACCTCTCGTTTTCTCATATATTATTAATGTTAAAAACAGTTCCTCCTCCCCTCGAGCTGTAAACGCTTCCTAAGCAAGCATTTAAGACTTTTGAAGGTATTAGGGGGATGCATGTGCAATTGGTCAAATACACTCTAATTCTATAGTTCGGGTTTATGTTTTTTTACTATACCATAAAGAAAAAATAAAGCAATTAAGACTATAGATAACTCCTATAAAACAAAGATTCGAACACGCATGAATCAGAATTAAAAGTATTTTAATCAAAATTATTTTAAATTGAAGTATAAAAACTAACTCCTATTTGAACTTGGATTGTCTAACAAATTTTCGATTAGCTTAATTGTAATATCTAAAAGGGTCAAAGTAACATTGACAACAAAAAGATTTATCCAAACTTATAAATATGGTTTAGAAACCATCTTGCTAACAATGTCAAGTAGCAAAATTTCCTATGTTTCTAAGACAATTTTGTCAATAAAAAAAGCACGTTTTATACATATACGCTGCTTGACCATGATTCATAAATCATGATGCGTCTTTCTAAAAGAGTAAAAAGAAAGAAAATTAAAACATCCGCTATACTTTCTCTATCTAATTAACTAGTAATTTGATTACCCCAAATATAATACAAACAACGTAATTATAAATTTATCACCGCTCCAATAGTTACAGTAATTGATTCAGTCTCTGCTCCACTGCAATTCTTAATTTGTTGAAAGAGGTATATGTGGTAACTCCAAAAAGCCTAGTTTTAATGGATATAAATAGGGTCCAAATGTCGTTTATAGTTCGGCAAAACTTGGGTCAAATTTGAACTAGTTTTTTCTAGTTCAAATTTTAACACTTAAACTAGCCCTTTTTTGGACCAAACCCCCTAGGGACCAACTCTAACCTAGTTAAGAAATAACTAGTCCAAACTCAATCATATTTTAGAATTGTCAAACACACCCTTAGCTTCCTTCTACATCACATCAGCAAAAATAACTAGCTCAGGCATACTTCAATGCAACGTAAGAACACGCATAAGATACAAAATTCAACAGCAATAGAATGGGTCAGCAGAAAGATTCGTCAGCTTTGGATCTTGTATAAGCTTTTGAATCGGGTTCATGAGTTACGTGTGTTATCCTCCTCCGTCAAACAAGAGAAGGCCCAAACAGATGCACAATTTTCATCACCTGTATAGGGGGCAAAAAAAGTTTAGAAAAAATCGTGCTGATAGCAAAAGATCAAGTAGAGAAAAATTAAATTCGTACCCTCAAGTGTTATGGGTAACAAGTAGAAAATAGTAAGTAATAAAGATTAACAAAATGTGAGGGTTCACATGCAAACTATGTAACTACAAATTATATACAAAACTAGTATTCTGTTGAAGGCTTGTGATCAGCCAACATGCTAGTCTTTCTAACGAAATAAAAGTACACCACATTTAGTATGAATAACTACTAGAAAATGAAAAGCATAAAGATACGAAGGTGGATCGGAATGTTAATGTCTAAAAATGACATTTGGCTAAGAAAATGATTATACCGGTCAAACTGATGTCCTCTTCGGAACTATCGTCCATGCTAAACCTGCGGCACCCAGACGAGGATGCGGCAAAAGGTAATGATGGATGGAAAGAAAAGCCATTGACGGTATCTAAAAGAAACACAAAAATCAGCTACAGGACAGATTTGAAATGCAGGATGCCACAATTGAAGGAAGATACACTTCCAGCTCTAAACTTAAAGCATCATTAAAATTTACCAGAGGCAGCTTGAAATCCTCCTGCCCACTGTCCAGTCTGAAGGTCATATATATGAATCAGACCATCCTGGCATCACAAGAAAATGAAGATGAGCTCTTTGCTTGATTGTGCTACTACCCACGATCAATAAACTTAGAATAATACCTCTCCTCCAGTACCAAGGTGCCTACCCCAGGGTTCAATATCAAAGGATATTCGCTGATTTGTGTACTCTGATGAACGATACAACCTGATTGCACAACTCAAAGGCATTCAGTAGCTTGGCAGTTAAATCAGAGCCAACTTACTTCCTGATAGTAAAGCTAACTAGGTCTAATGTTAGCACAGAGAATAGGGGTAAAGTATTGAAATCAGCGGCCAATTGATTGGTCGAATCAGAGGGCCGAACATTGCCAAATTTGACAAGAATCAACTAATGGAACTAATACGTTTGCATAGAATCTGAGTTATTGCTCTAGTTTCCTAGAAGATAAAGGTAATAATTGTAATGACCGTAAATTTTTAATACTGGTTTAAATAATTTTTCTGGTATTTAAATATTAAAATTTATTTTTAAAAAGAGTATTTGTATTTTTCCCCTAATTTTTTAGAATTTTCTATGATTTAAAATACGATTTTATATTTATTTTAAAGGTTTTGCTAATTATAAATTTTAATTGTTACGGTAAAGACTTTTAAATTAACATTTGGTTATTTATTATTATTATTATTATTATTATTTGTATTATTAATTATCTTATATTAAAATTTTAGCTTGCACCCCTTATCCCCTACCGTTATTTGTAGCTGTCAGATGATCAGCACGACAGTCAATTTGTTATTTGGCTTTTTCATGTGTTTTCCTCCCCAATCAGTCTCTCTCTCTCATTATCTCTCACCTCAAACCCTTACCCCACCTCTCATAATTTCCTCCCTAATTCCCGCACTCCTCTCCCTCGTGTCCCGCTCCTTATAGAGTCTCTCTTCTTTTTCTCTCTGTCGCTCTCACACTCTCTCCCCTCTATTATTTCTCCTCCCCCTCTCTCTTTCTCTCTCTCCTTCATCACCCGCAGCCAACTCCCCTCTCCCTTCACCATCTCTCTCTCACTCCCTCACTCTCACATTTCTCTCTCTCTCATCTCATTATATCTCTCCCTCTCTCTCCATCATCATTCATCACCTCCACTCCGCTCAGCCGACCGCACCACCAAGCTGAGCTCCGATCTCCGAGCTCAGCCCCAGGCCAGTCACCCTTCACCTAAGCTCGCGGCCTCCCCTTCCTTCCCCCGCCTGACGCCTGACTGCCGACAAAGCAACCGCCCAAATCTCTCCCACCAGATCTCGCGGACGAACACCACCACGCCGACGAAGCAACCGCGCGACCAACCCTTTTGCCACGCCAGCCAGCTCCCTCCTCCGTTGCCTAACCGTCGTCTCGCCACCTCACCGCCGCAGCGTCGCCAGCCACCCGCCTGCACCGCCTCTGACTGCCCCTCCTTCGACCTGACCTGCCATCGCCACCACCGCGGCCCGACAGCCACCTGAACCCACGCCTCACACACCGTCGCTCTGCTCCAAGTTCGTCGCGAGTCCCCGCTGCAGCCTTCCCTGAGCCGCCGCTTCACTGCCCCGCCACCCGCTGCCTCCCTATCGTCGGCCCAGCTCCGACCGACGCCCTCAGGCCCACCGCGCTGTCCAGTCTCCGCAACACCTCTTAACAGCGCCCCAACGCGACCTCAATCAACTTCGCCGCTGCCCCTGAGCTCCGTCGACCCCAAACAACCCCGTCGTCTCTCAACAGCCCCTCACTCCCAGCTTACCTCGCGTCGCTCGCCCAAGCCAACTCAAGCCACCGTCGTACCTTCGGTCGCCGCCCTCCTCCGTTTCCCTCAGCCTCGAACACCACCAGCAGCGACGCCGCTTCGTCGTCGCCGCACCTGGAGCTCACTTCCGCTGCCCCCTCAGTCCAGAACCATTTGCAGCGACGTCACCGTCTCATCATCAGGCCCCTCGGCCTCGTAGGCAAGATCTTACTTGCTCAGATCTAAATTTTGTATTTATTATGAATTATCTATAATTTTAGATCAGTTAATAATTATCTGCGTGGGATTGTTTGATGAATAATATTAGATAAATCATAATAATATGATAATTAGTATTTTCAAAATAATTATGATAAATTAAAAGAATTTATTTCGGCAGCGGAATCATTTTAAGAAAATTATAATAATTTAAAAGGAATTATCTTGAAAAAAGAATCATTTTAGAATAATTATAATAATTTTTAGAAATTATCTTGTGGAAGAAATCATTTTAGAATGATAAATATTTTTTTAAAATTTTATTTTGAGAAAATAAACTATTTTGAATTAATGAGAATTTATCTTATAAAAAGATTATTTTTGAATTTATGAATTTATTATTTTAAAAGATTATTTTTAGAATTATTATAATGAGAAAATAACTTATTTTGAAAAAGGGATTATTTTGAAAGAACTCATTTTGTAAAAGGAATTATTTTAAGTAAATAACTTTATTATTTTAGAACAATTTTATGGTTCAAATTCTTAGACTTGATTATCTGATATGTTATGATATTATTGTACATGATTAGTTGCATTGATTATTCCTTGTTGTGATTAAGAACCGTTAGGAGTTTATGACTATAATGACCTGTGTGACATGAATAAGACCTAGAGACATGTGTTGTGTTGACTTAGCAAAACGAGAAGAGTAGGGATGGGAAAGTCCGTGTTCATGTGATCGGATAAGACTGTTGATGTATCTTCCAGGCTTACCCGTGGTTGGTGTCGTCACTGGGGTTGGTTTGTAGGGCTAAAGTGAAGTGTGTACATCACTTTAGTCAGTGGGAATTGAATTCGTCACCCGAGTTTTACTTGAGTTCGGACCAAGCAGAAAACGGTTTACGTGTAGTCCTCTGACCGCATGTGTAGCGGGATCGGATGCACGTAGGGGATTTGTGAACAGTCAGTATCCGATGACAGGAGCGTTGACTCTGTGTGAGATGTGACCAGTAACCTGTTATAGAATGGCTAGTTACATGACCTTGCTTCTTGGCTAGGTATGATTTCTTGTGAGATACGAACCAGTTATATTTCTTTTCATACATAGATCGAGATTAATATTTAATTATCTACAATTTGAGACTATGGTATATACATGAGGGTTTTCTTGTTTGGATTATTTCGCTCGATGTATTACGTCTCTTGTTGTAGATTTTTAAGTATTAATTTCATCTAGTGTATAACACTGTACTTGAATGATTATTCTGATCGCTAGCTGCATGACCTCGTTACCCGATTGATTTTGGATTATTCTGATTATTCTATTCTAGTAGAAAATTATATTTGGATTATTAGTATTTCAGTTGCATGTTTGCATTGTTATTGCCATTATTACATTGGTCGTTCGACCGTTTCTATTCTTCCTTTTGGGATCTTGCCGTGTGCCATGCACGCTGACGTACTCCTGTTCTCTCGGGTTGTATGTCAGATTTAGAGGACATACAACTCCAGTTCGGAATAGTACAGGAACCAGAGGATCTCCCGTAGGAAGGCTTTGCAGACGGAGCAGAAGAACAAGTCGAAGCTTAGTTACCTCTTTTAGTTAGTTGATGACCCTAGTTTACTTTTGTAGTACTTTTATTTTCTGTCGGATCGTTGTATTTTATATTTTTCCAGTATTTCATTCAGATAGTTTTGTATAAGGGCATGTTTGGCCCGAATATTATATCTGGGATGATATTTCAGTTGTGATATGTATATTATTTTGTTCTGAGTTGTTTATTATATTCTCGCCACTGTGATCGGGGACCTGTGCCTTCGTTTTATATTTGCTTGACGCGTAGCATATTAGATTGAGCAGAAAAGGACTACTACTTATTTCTCCTCAGTCTAATACGTCGCGGGCTTGTTCACGTTCCGATTCCCTGGTATTGAGAAGCGGGGCGTGACAATAATGGTTCTATAACCTACTGAAGACTTTTAGAAAGCAATAAAGTGTGTTTCTTATTATAGTTTGTTCCAGGTGTTAAGGATAGGGTTTCGTGCATTTTTAGAAGTTTGTGAGATGTGATGGCACTGCTCAACACCGAGTCCTTTATGACTTGAGAAATAAAATTCCTTCAACGTAGTTGGAAGTTATAACTGTTTTTTTGGATCTTATCCAGGAACCAGAAGCTGAAAATCCATGACGGAGAGAAACATTTAAAAAAACATAGATTTTCTAAAGCAAAAGATGAGAAATGCACTACGGGTTCAGCCTAAACACACGTGAGCCATCCATGAACAATAAAAATTACTTACACCAATCTTCATCACCTACAAGATCAATGATAAAGAAATTAGAAAGTTTGAAGACTTTTTTCCCATGAATCAAGAGGTTTCCATGAAAGGCTTGTCAATAATAGAAAATACGAGAAAATTATATTAAACCATTGGATATGTCTTCCACAGTAGTGCTAGAAAAAGGGAGCAGAATGCTGTACAAATGGCCAAACAAATAAAAAGGTATAAATGCAGTACTACGTCTAAAAAAAGCAGCCAAATTTTGCAAATTGAGGTATTTTAACAGTTCAATTGTTACGCATTTGATTGTGTTGATATTCTCTAAGAAACCATAGATTGGCATGTCTACAACTCTACATATATTATTCTGAAGATATATTATTTTTATTCATCGAACTCAAAAGCAGGTTTAGAAGTTAATTTCACTAAAATAAAGTAGTATTCTCATAAAAAAAAGGAAAAGTTTAAATATTGCACCGATTTTTCTGAGGAAAGAAAGGCCAGATATACTTACTTGTAAACAATACCAGCAGTATTACGAATATCCCAGCATAATATATATGGATCCTGATATCAATGTGAAAAACTTGCATCAGCTGATTATTTCAAATACGCCATAGTCAATAAAAGTAGTTCATAAACTTAAAATGACACTTGACAAGGATCAGCTGTTTTGGGATTCAATCATAATGTTTTTAAATTTTACAGACAGAAAAGACTTGTCAAAATAATTAACCAAACATCAAAGTGGGGTCAGCTATCAAGCACAAGGCTACACCAGTTGTCAACCTGTATCAACCTGCCAAGTAAGCAGCGATTCCCGGCTAAATAAACAGGGGTTTTCATGAATCCAATAAACTGGGAGCAGGAAATCATGTTTATAGGTCAGATTGCAACTAAAAATGAGGAACAAATGTTTGAAATTCTCCTAGACCAGAAAAGAAACTAGAAAGAAAAGATAATAGATTTCTTTAGGAACTTACTTCATCTATAATGTACAGAGAGAGCCAGAGAGAAAAAGAAAGCATTTCAAGACAAATGGTTAACATGTTTGGCAACTTAAAAGACTAAATACAATTATCTATTTAACTTCTCATACAGCCTGTAGTACTGGGCATTAGCATTAACTTGGAACCAGCTTTTGGCATGTAAGAAGAACATGAATTAAAAAGTTATTTATGTATGCAAAGAAAAATGAATATATATTAATTGGTCAATGTCATCCATGAGACTTGGAAATAGCCATGCATAACAACATTACTTGCACATAACAGATGGACATGGAGCTAACAAGAGAAATTTACGGAGATGAATTTTGTAGTACCTCTCTCAGGGCAAATGAACGATTAGGTGTGAAAAACTGAAAATGAAGGGTCAGATAAGGGGGGGAAAAGCAAGTATTGTTTCTGTTTGGGCATTTGTGAATGAGTTGACTACCCTCTTGGGTTTGCATATGACAGTAAAGATGTTAAAAGCATGTGCTGGCATCAAATACATCAAAAAAGTCCAGCTTGTATTTGCATGCTGCAAATGCATAACGTGTATTCAAGTTTCTCCTGTGAAGCATTTTGTCTTTTCTCATATGCCAAGGATCAGTTCCCTCCAGTCTTTTGTACTGTAGCTTTGGACACACTTTAAATAATTGGCTTGAAAAGTTGCCGATACTTGATCCAAGCATAGATGAACTGAACATGGCAGAATACAATCTCAAGGGTAAGGAAGTAGGAATAAAATTTCAAGGGTAAGGAAGCATGGCAGAAAATGAGCATAAAGTTGATGTATAGACCTGACTAAATGTCCTATCTATAAATTATGATGCAATATAACTTACAAATAGACTTCAACCATTATTCGAACTGGACAAAAAATGAAATGAGAAAAGGGTTCATGGAAATTTTAATATCAAAATCCCTAAAACTTAATAATTCATTACCTTCCGTCCTCCAGTATATATATAGTTCCCATCTTTTGAGAACAAGACCTGAAAATGTGGAAACAATTAGCCATGCTATATTTTTCTATGATACTTCATAATGGTAATTTAGAAGCAAGAATAGTCAGCAAGGCAGCTGTATCCACCTGTGTAACACCGCCTACTTGACCATGCAAAACATATAAAAGTTCCATATTAACCTCAGCATATACTGCAGTCATGTTGCTATAAGATCCAATTGCCAGAAGCCCACTATGTGTGGGAGAAAAGGAAATTGATGATACAAGACCTACATGTAGCTGAAGAAAAGTTAGATATCTGTTCAAAATTGATGCCACCTTATACAAAATGGCAAATCGTAGAGCACACTCCAGTCTAAATAAACCAGGAACACTGAAACGAGTAAACGACCTAGTATTATCGACAAAATACAATTCTTCATGTACTCCAGACTATTCAGTTGAAAAAAATCCTGAAGATCCCACGAAAAAGACAAAGACAACCTCAAGTCACAGATCAGAAGCCAAGTTATTGGTACTTCACAAAGAATGAGTGTTGATTCTAATACATATTACCGAGTATATGTTAATGTCGAGTATGGAGAACAGATGACAGCCATTGACAGAATGGCCTATCATGCATCATAGCATTAAACTGCTACTAAAGAGCACCAAAGCATATTCCATTAACTTGTCATCAAATCCCACAAAAATATGAAGACATTAGAATTACACGATTTACAATATAAGTTAAAAAAAACAAAATGTAATTGACCTTGTTACCTAGCATATGTTAGCATAGTATCAACAAGATGCAAATATGTACCTGAAGGCCCATCACTGCCTTTAAGCGGATATTGCTCAAAATCTCGACCAGGGCAATGTATGTCAAACACTCTTAAGAATTTATTATATCCAGCAAAAATCCTGCAAAGCAACATATACTGGATGAAACTTATCTACAAAGAAAAAAAATACCATGTCTTTAAAACTAAAAGCAAGAAACATAAGCAACAAAATAGAAAATACCTCAAATTAAGAAAGAGAAAACATGTACCGCTGATTAATGCATATGTTAATAGGTTGATTGTTGGGAAGTGTTTCCATTAACTTGTCTTACTTTGAGCCTCAAAAACGAGTAATGTTTCCTATAGAAACTTTGCCTGATCTGACTGCATCTAGACTCTAACTTAGGCCATCATACTTATGAAGGTCGCTTTTTGACTACATAAGCTTGAACTGCATGGTAAGGAGTAGGTTTCTGCCTGCAACCTGAGAACAGGGCTTTATGGAAAGCCCTTCCAGCCAAGGAATGGCTCATGCTAATGGAAGGTCAACATCTAATTTACATCTGGTTATTGGAAAATAACCAAATCGTTGCGTTTGAAAGAGAATTACGGTCCATACTGAACCATAGTCGAAAATAGTGTTTGATAAGAATGAGAACAACACGCAAAAAAATAAATAAATGGAACTGCAAGCTGCACAACTTTTGCAATTGTTTATCTTGGCAAACTATTCTTCAAGTCATACTGCTTGGTTGCTACAAGAGCTAGAAAGGTGCAACTTAGCCTCTGCTTAGATATAGAATTATTTCAAAAGTTTGCACCCACAAACATAAGGCACAAGCGTAAAGGCAAAATGACAAACATATAAACCCATTCACACGTGTATTTTGACACATAAACGAATCGATCAGTGGTCAACCACATATACTTCACTATCGTAGTCCATAACAGGATCAGATTACAATTTCCACATTCCTTTACTCTTAAATGATTGAAACGGTTTTCTTAACTTGCCATGTTGTGTCACATATCTTACAACCATTGTCTTTTTTTCTCTTTTTATCCCCTCCTTTTTTGCCACATGACAAGTAAGAATACAGTAATCATCCAGTAGCACGTCTTGTAGTCATTAATTAACTAAGTAATCTCTAAAATAAAAAAACTTGAAACAAGTATAATCATCCAGTAGACGTCTTGTAGTCATTAACCAAATAATCTCCAAAATAAAAAACTTGAAATAAGTATAACTTGAAATAAGCATAACGACGATTTATACTTAGTGCCGGAGGAATTGAAAGAAACCGAAAGTGCAGCTGTTATTTCATCCATCGCATCATACGCTCGGTAGGTGCATCTCAGCTGTCATCATCAACACAAATAACTCGGTAGCAAAGCAACAAAATGACATCCCTATCATAAAGCATCCAATTTATTGAGTTGGTACCTGACCGGTAACGGCATCCCATAGATGAATAGGATGATCACGCGTAGTGCTTACGAAAACACAGGTGGCAGGGTCTGGAGCATAAGCAAAACAAATTGGACCCATTAACTCAGATATATCGAAACATATATATGGATTATCTCCCCCGCAATTACAGTACAGCATTGCAGTCAGTCTACCTGATGAAGACATGTACGGGTACCAACAGTAGTCATAAACGGTCTCCGCTTCAGTGACCATGAGATCAGAACTATAGGAATCTATTGCAAGAAACAAGATTCAATACCTGTTAAGAAGAAATCCATACGTTGTTTCCGTAATAAAACATACACGCAAAATTTCAAACCCAAACCGTAGTCCTCGTTAGTTATACATCAGACCTCGATCGCCTAAACAAGCATCGGATTCCCAGTCCCAGCACTTGCTGTATGCTTCCTGCGGTCTGACCAGAGGAGCAAAAAAAAAAAAGGCGCAATTAGCAGCAGAGGGTAAAGTTCGTAGGATTAGTCAAATTCAGTTGAAGAGACCGCTCACAGAGAGAAGAGGCGGAGGGTGTTGTCATCGGAGCTTGTCAAGAAGCAAGAGCCGTCAGGGGACCATTTCACCCCTTTAAGGAAGTTGTTGTTGCTGCTCGCTCGCTGCCGTTAGGGCTAAGGGTAGGGTTCGCTCAGTCGACTGCTGCGAAGAAGTGGTAAGCCCTCCGAGGTGGGACGTCGAATCTCAACACCGGCCACTGTCCACCGTGGCCGCGTTCTTCGGAGCATTCTTCATCTTCGACGGCGTCGTTTTCTCCGCTCTCTTTGCTCATTCCCGCCTCTTCTCCCATGGATTTCCAGGTTCGGAGTCGGTGTTTCGAGAGAGGCGGAGAAATGCAGTGGAACGAAGAGGGAACTAACTTGAAGGCGGGGACAGACGAGCGTTGATCGGCGGAGCAGGCGATCGGAAAAGAGCGGGTGGTGAATAGGAAGTACTAAAAAATTTAGGGCTTTGAAATCGGGGATTCTCGGTAGCATTCGCAGTCGCCCGGCGCGGTTCGCCGTACCGGTAAGCAATTTTCGTCGATCCTAGGGTGGGGGGGGGCTGTTTTTTTTTTTTTTTAAGTTTACGTTATAATAATTTTATTATTGATAATTTGTTTAAAAATTTATTTTATTAATTATAAACAATTACACATGTGATGATGACAAGCGGGCAACAAGCTGCGCCGCTAATCCTTTCTGAATTGCAAAACCCAACCTACGAAACACATACTCAGCGGACCATGCTGTCGCCACATTCTTATTCATGAATTTCTGTACCCTCCGGAGGAATCCACCGCATCAGCTGCAAGGAGACCAAACGTATCGAAAGCGAACGGGATGAAACTGTGGTGGTTGTCCTTGCAAGCTTGATCATGTATGTCCACCTTTGTCTCTGCTGCTCTATCCGCTGCATGCCCAACCTTGAACTCTCCATTACCAAACCCCACCAACAGAGACACCCCTGTGAGATCAACACAAGCGTGCTTCCCCCCGCTCCAATTGTAGACAAGAACGTCTGCCGGCCTAAGAGTAGATCTAGCCTCTCCACGAGGAGTGAGGAAGTTGACTGGCGCTTCCTTCTTTGATGGGATCTCTGCTCTTTGGAGGATATCATACAAGACATCTCTGACTAAGTCGTGCCTGTACTTGAACCCCGGCTGCTTCTGACAGTGGATGGCATGCTCTCCAAAAGCATCCATCTGCGTTCTACGACAAACTGGGCAAACTGTCTCCTCCACGAACAAAGGAACCAACAACCTGTACCTAAGGATGGCCTGGTACTCCCCCGGAGTCATACGCTGCCCTAATCCCTCAATAGGCATGGCCAACAAGAAATCCTGGGCGTGCTTTGCCCGCAGGCACTCAACAATCGCAACTTGCCTCTCTGAAAGGTCAAACTTCGTCGATAGATCTCTATAAATGCCACCATAAAAGATGTCTGCCAAGTAATGCATTGGTTTTAGGGGTGTGTGTGTGTGTGTGTGTTTTTTTTTTTTGGTTGGGACAAATTGGTACCAAATGGTAAAATTGTTCTAAGGGGGGTCACACCTAGAACTTTTTAAGTAGGGATAATTTCGTAGAACAATGATGGATAATTCTTGAATGGGATAATTTAGTAGGATAATTTGGTGGGATAATAGTGGATAATATTATGAAGTTGCATAATTTGGTAGGATAATTTGGTGGGGGTAATAGTGGGTATAAATTACTATTGTTAATAATTGTATATTAAAAATAATATAAGATTGATAAGCAATTGATTAGTCTAGTAATAACTATAAAATATAATGCAATAAAGCATCATTATTCATCTCAAATAATAAAATATTTTACAACTAAATAAAAATCTAAATCCCTAGAGTGACTCGAAATCCATCATCCCACATGGCCTCTACCATAGAATTTCTCCAAGCTCCTGTAGCTGCTCGTTGAGTCTGTTGAGTCTGTAATTCGTCTTCTTCATCGAAGTCATCATCTGCCTCAGCAACATTTCGTGGAGCTTCTAGTGGAAAATCAGAAATGTCAAAGTCATCATTTGTATTCTCCAATCTTAAAAAGTTATGCAATCTTACGCATGCAACGAACATCTTTATTTGTTTAGCAAATGGAAAACCTGGAGGTTGACTCTTGCAAATAGTGAATCTAGACTTAAAAACTCCAAAGATGCGCTCGACACAATTTCTAAGAGACGCATGCCGATGGTTGAAATTTTTTTTTTGAATTTCGTGGTCGTTGTTGATTATTAGCAGGGCCGAACTCTAAAAGATGGTACCTTTGACCTCGGTATGGAGCAAGAAATTGTAGCCTATTTGGATAGCCACAGTCAACTAGATAAAATTTATCTACAAACAATAATAAAAATAAATGAGGAAAATATTATAAAACTAAAAAATATTTTTTAATTGATAGAATACTATGTAAAGATTATTACTCTGTGGAAGTGGAAGTCCATAAGGTCTACTCATTGCATCCTTCAAGACTCTTGCATCATTAGCAGAGCCCTCCCACCCAGCTAAGACATAAATAAATTTGAGATCAAATGTGCAAGCTGCCAAGACGTTCTGAGAGAGAAAACCATGTCTATTTCGATAGGGCGTCTGATCTATGTTATACACCATGCACGGTATATGAGTCTCATCTATTGCACAGATACAATCCTAAATAATCAATGTGTCAGACCATCTCAAGTGATGTATGTGTGGGCGCGCACGCGTGTGTGCACGTGTGTGCCTGTGTGTGTGTAAAATCTTAAGCAATGAGAATTACCTTGAAATAAGGCCAAAAACGATATTCTGATTTAACCTTACGGGTGGATTAGTAGGGGGTGATGCCATCAAGCATGATGCTAAAGATACCAGGGCGTATAATGCTTTATTGAAACATACACTGATGGTCTATTTTGAATGATCAAATCAATCAGTTGCAACAGAATATCTTTGATTCTGACTAACCGTGAGAAGAAAAATAGCAATCATCTCCTCAACAATCAGTTGCAACAGAATATCTTTGATTCTGACTAACCGTGAGAAGAAAAATAGCAATCATCTCCTCAACACTAATGTGGTATGTGTCTTGAACCGTGAGAAGAAAAATAGCAATCATCTCCTCAACACTAATGTGGTATGTGTCTTGTATATGGCCCCGCCCTCTCAAGATATTGCATAACTTCATGAAGCAATCTGGGTACATGCGGTAAATTCTACGATAATCTTGCAGATGATTATCCATCTTGGACTGTAAGTATGTGAGACCAAGATCTGTAATACCACGTCGAGGACTTCGGAAACTAAGCGTATTTGTTATGAACTCCTGTGATAGAAGTCCTGATACCTTTATGATCAGATCTACAGCCCCAGTAGCTAATTCTATTATGTGAATCAAAAGATTATCATCAAAGTCTTCATGATGAAAATATAAAATGGGCAAATTTTGATTTTCCTCCATCCTATTAAATAATATAATAATGAAATATAATCAATTTACATGAAACTTATGTGCACAGAAAATAAGTAAAGCACTATATTATTAGCACACAAGAGGACTGATAACAAAGTAAATATGTATAGTTCATTTTATCAAAAAAGATGGATGTAATTGAACATGTATTAGTGAAAATTAGTAAAAAAATTGGCGGTTGTTCGTTCTCTCTACATCAAGTAGCAATCAATAAAAAATGTTGACGTGTATGCTAATTGTTAATCACCAAACTATTGAAAAATAGAAGAAAACATAATATTGCTCTACTCTCATCTACACAACATACAAGAATCATTTGTTGGGATGATACATATAGAAAATTCATCCATTAAATGCACCAAACTAGGATAGCTGACAAGTCAAATAACATAAGAACATAATATAAACAAATAAACAAAAGCATAGCAATATCCTAAAAATAAATAGTTTTGACAAATTGAAATGAAACTGATCCTAAAAATACTTTCCAAATCGAAAAAATATGACATTATCCCAAGTTCCACCTACTCAATGAAAAATAGTTTGACAATACGAAATTCCACATAATCCTAACACCATAACAAATGCTAAAAAAATATAGAAGTAACCTAAACTCCTAAATTACCGCCTCTAAACATCTCCAAAGAAATCAGAATCATAATATTCACCATTTGAATCAGAATTGGCTTGAGTCCCATCCTTACCATCATTCAATATCTCACCGGTCAACCTAAAATGTAGAAACTCATAACGGTCTTTTGCATCCATGTCAATAAAGGCATCCTTCATGTCTTGTGGGATATTGTCACTGAGAATATTCCATTTTTGTGGCTTAGTCAATTCAGAAGTAGACATAACAGCATCAACCCATTCTTTATTTCGACCTTTTCTTATCTTCCTCAACTCATCAACTAACTCATGAAAAGCTTTACCTATAGTGACAACTCCCTCTCCTACCTCTTGCAACGATAACTGGGAACTTGCAGAGGATGTGGCTGCAGTACCAATTGACCTACGTCGTCGTTTACCATTATTCAAAGTGGATGGTCCAGAACCAAAACCTGGCACATTGTCAGTGGGAATGGTGGTAGCAGGTTGCATATCTACAGTAGCTTCTCCTCCATCTAAAGATTCTATCTCAGCATCAGCACCAAGTATGCCCTCCCCAACCACTTCCTCTAAGCGTGCTTCATCCAAGCCATCAGGACCTAAACCTATAGCTCCTTTGCCAGAAGCGCCATGGTCTCTGCATACCATCTGTATATCCTCAAAATTCTCAAACAGCTTATCCTTGAGATTTGGAGTATTTGAACGGGCCTAAAACATTACATATGAAAATAATTAATATTATATTCAAATTAATATATATAAAATAACATGACATAAACCAACCTCTAAAATGTCATTCCGCACTTTATCGGGACAAGTAAATTTCTGTGCGCTAGGGTCCCAACCAAAACCAGAGTTATTTTTTATCAGGATCTCCACAGGTGCAATCTTTCTCTTTCATTGCTTTATCTTGTTCATTACATGATTATATCTAAAATCTTTACCAAATTTTTCAACTAGATGGGGTATCACATTCCTCATAATCACATACTTTTTAAAATTGTCATTTGCTTGCTTATTTCCATTCTTAACTTCCTCTACTAACAGTCTAAGCAATTCATTAGCCTCTGCTTCAGTCCATATCATATAATCATCATTGCTCTTTTCTGTCCCTCACTTCCTATACCTTGAAATATTTCTTCTTGATCCTGACTTTGTGATCTTATGTCTATCCTATAACAAATTCAAAAAGAACTTTTCAAAATCTCAACTATGGAATTGGATTAAAATATAAATGCATCTGATATAAAAAGGACATGCACATATATAATAATAATAATAATAATAAAATGAATAATATCAAGACATCATTAACAGAAGTGACATTGTGCTCCCCTTTTATGATTGGAATGAATTAGAGGATAACTTGAGGGATGAGAGACCAAACATGCCTTGAAGGATATGAGATCTGAGAGTAGATCAACGCTATACTTACTCAAATTGATTAGCGTTAGGAGATGGGTCAACTATCCATAGTTGTAATATATGATATGCATATAAGGTGAACATATTTCTTATACAAATTGCAGTTATATACAAATTCTAATTCATATATTTTGACGAACATCACCAGCATTATTTTGAGTTTCATATGCTTATAGTTCACAAAAGTACAAACGTATAAGAGAATGAAGCCAAGTCCCTACAAGCTTTTGTAAAAAAAAGGCAATTGCTCACTTGCCAAGTTTGAAACTATATAACACCAGACAGGTCGAAGACATATTTCAAGTAAATGATATACACGAGTTTTCTTTTGCATAACGGGAAATGAATAATGTAATCAACCAGCAGCAAACAAGTAAATGATATACACGAGTTTTCTTTTGCATAACGGGAAATGAATAATGTAATCAACCAGCAGCAAACATATAAAGGTTGTACATGTATGTAGAGTTTATTGCAAGCAACATTTGTTGACGGCTTGTACAGAGCGCCTACAGCGATGAAAGCAAGTTCCTGCAACAAATTTTCAACCCCCATTTCTTCTGCACTCTTTTTTATCTTGGAAATTTTAAGAGATTTGGTCCTTGGTTGCATGAGGTTAAACTACATAACTACCGATCAAATGGATCTAGCACAGCCCCTGTAATATCTATAGTTTCCGTAGCTTGGTAATTGGAGCTGAAAAAATAGATAGATTAGCCAACCTTCTATGGAGCCTTCTCAATGTAAGAGTTGTATTCTATAGATAGCTTCACGTTAATGGAAAAAAATTTGAATGATTCCTACTGAAAACATGCGCAAGGATTTTGTATTATGGGTATTGTGTGCAAATTTTTTAAGTGAGGAGAGTAGCATTGGCTATGTTAATATTCTTGACTCCTGCTTTCTTCACCAATAACTTTTCAGAGCAAAGAAATAATGCCTTGGATGAGAATAATTTATGTTTGATTTTCAATTAATTGTTTCCTTCCATGTCTTATCTTATATGATTACAAGACACAATTCCAGGTTGCTGCAGTTCCTCAATTTAATCTACTATCACAAAGTATAAAATAGTTTCTCGCTTTGATTCAAGCTTCCATCGACTTACCAGTTATCATTTAAGTTATGCTGCTGCAATCCTTTCACTAATTTTAATATGGACCTTATGACACTGGACTTTAGCAAATACCATCAACACCCAAAAGCTTTATATGTAACATTTACTCTACAATTTGCAACTGTCATTAGGTTGCTCCAGTAATCTAATAAGGAAGCAAAAACCTCCTCCATCACAGAAAAGACTAGATGCAGACTAGACTACAAAAATAAAAGTGGATTGTTGCAGTTAAAGACTAGATGTGTGACATAAACATGTTCGCATCAGCATGTTTTGATCATTGCTGGGAACCTGTACATTATAATTTACTTAGTTGTTGCAGTTAAAGTGGATTGTTGATATCTGGGATTAAGGCATGGATTTATCCCTCCTCTGACTAGCATATATATAATATATAAATCATTGCCAGCATTGTGGCAAGCTCAAAGACAAACAAGGATATTCATGATAAAACAGGACAGCATAAACAAGAGGGAAATGCATGTGTACACAAAATTAATTAAGTTATATGGCTAATTTCATGGCCCAACTCCGTGAGTTATCAAGGAACAACTTCTTGGGTTAAAATAGAACTACGTTTACATCTAATTAATAATATGTACATGATCATTCACTGTAATTTTCTTATATTAGTCTAGACTACCGATGCAAATAGAAGGTTGAAACTAAGGATGAGTTATCATTACAAATTCTAATTGGGCAGGATAGTAGCTTTTTTTCGATCTGGTTAAAAAATAAAGAAATCCAAGTACCTACAAGCTTTTGAAAAAAAGGCAATGGCTACCACAGGCTAGGTTTTGATGGCTCATGTGCACACACTTGATGAAAATAGACAATTTTGCTCTTTTACCCAAATAAAAAAATCAAAATCCAAACCACTATATACATATGTCATCTCTAGATCATTGTTTAACCATAAGATATCCACATTAATCTTGTCAAAATCATATATAATCGTTGTTTAAAATCCAAAGCACTGTAAAGGCCTGATCGTTGTTACGGTGGTACGTACCTGAGTTCGTGGACGGTGCCGGAGTGGTTGATGAAGTCGGAGAAGATGACACCGCGGAGACGACACACTGTAAGTGCTATTCTTCGAAGGGAAGAGGATCGGAGAGAAGAGAGGAGGAGAAATTAACCGATAGGGAGGGAGGCGGAACGTTGTTCTAGGTATTTCACTTTTTTCCGATTATTGTTTCTTTTCAATTGTAGGATAATTTGAGAGAGGTGAACTCATGCTTCTATATATAGGTAGGATAATTAATGGGATAATTATGAGAAATTATCCTAATTCTAATTCTACTAGAATTCTACTTGACTAATGCACCAAAAAAATAATACAGTTCTAGTTCTACAAAAGTTCTACTTGACTAACACTACAAAATAATATCTCATTTCTTAATTCTATGTGACTAACACCTTAAAATTTTATCCCACAGATTATCCCAATTCTAATTTTGAGTTCTAGGTGACTAACCCCCCCTAATGGAATAATTTTACCCCTTTGAAATATTTTGAGTGGGGTAAAGTGGGATAATGGAATAATTTGAGTCTTTGATTTAACAATTCATGTGGGGTAATTAATAATGTGGTATCTTATTAAAATATAATTTTATCTATTAATTACTTCTAAATTAACTTATCCAATTGGTTTAGTATATTATTTAGTATATTATTATAATATAAATATTATTTTACTTTATATTAAAATATAATATATTGTACTATACTTACAAATTACTATTATTAATTATTATATTATATTATATTAGCATGCTATACTATATATAATATTAATATATTTAATATAATATTTTAGTAATAATAATATTTTAATATAATACATTATTTTATTTATACAAAAATATAATATGTTATACAATAATTACTAATTAACATTATATTAGTATGCTACATTATATAATAATTGATATAATATATGAATAATATATTTAATATAGTACTTTAATAATATATTATTTAATTTAATATATTATAATATAGTATCATAGGATATAATGTACTTTATAAAATATTATAATATTTTACTTTATTCAATGTAATATTTTTTAAAATTTTATATTAAAATTAAAATATAATATAACATATTATTAATATATGTTATTAAAATATTATATGATATTATAATAAATACGTTATACTATAATTACTATTATATAATATTATTAATATATGTTATTAAAATTTTAATATATGTTATTAAAATATTATATGATATTATAATAAATACGTTATACTATAATTACTAATTAATATTATATAATAATATATTACATAATATTATTAATATATGTTATTAAAATATTATATAATATTATAATAAATATGTTATACTATAATTACTATTATATAATAGTATTAATATATGTTATTAAATTATGTTATTAAAATATTAATATATGTTATATTTTATATATCATATCATATATATATATAATATAATTAACATGTATTAGTTAAGTAATACAAAAATATTTTAAAATTATCCAATTGCCTTCAAAGTGGAACAACATTGTTCCAATATGGAGGATGTGGTAAATTTTTACTATTGGGATAAAATTTTTGTATATGAGTGGGGTAATTTTATCCCAAGTAGTGTAATTGTCTCACTAGTGTTCCAAAAAATTAATAACACAAAAAGGTATTATCCTTGTTCCATTATCCCAATGAATAACACTATGAAATAGAATCCTCAAAATTATCTCATTATCTCCCAAAATGTCCCAACCAATAACCCCCCTCTAATTGCCAACTGGTCTCTCAAATTTCAGTATTTACTTATTAGTCCCGTAAATGTTCAGTCATATTGCAACTTCATCCCTCTGTCAGGGATTCTGTTGAATTTCTCTAACTCTAGTTAGGTTAAGGCTTAACCTAACATCTAAAATTGCTCAAGCGCCCCTGAGCATACATTACTCTCCTGAGGAATTGAAACACACCACTTTCCCGAAAATTTCTCGCTCTCTAAAAGGGGAAAACGCTCCAGATTGGGTTTGGAAAGCTCCTAACTGTTGGAGATGAAGAAGTTGATGGATTTGGATGTTAATTGGGGCGGGTTGCGAGTATAAGCTTGTTATGAAACGAGTTGCTAATGTTTCTAAATGAGCGGGTTAATTATAGGTGAGGGTGTGAAAAAAA